ATAACATTTCTGTTACCTTAGGATATAGACGCACCATTCTAATTAGTTTAGGACACTGGATTACCCAAATATGCACTCAAAAATTACTTTAGGCCACTGGACGCACCTGGGTAAATAGTTCGGAGTGCTGGGCGCACTTTAACCCTATTTTAATTTCATACCCGTGTGTTTCATTCTCACTTTGAGCATGTATATGGTGTACAAGGAACAAGCATGTGCAACTACGATGTCTTAAAGGCGCTGATAGCCATCAAAAGTATGCATGTGATCTTCTGATACATCAACGGAAAAACTTCAGGGAACTCTTCATTTGAAAATCTCACGGCAGTTATAATGTCCGTATAATTTGTCAGATGTCTGTAGGTCTGTGACAACACATGACATATCTCCCCACTATGTTTTTGATAGGCAGCGGTCCCCTGTTCATATGGAAACAAAACAGAACAGAGACAAGACAAATCATGGAGTTAGCCGAAAAACAAGACTAGCGGAGAAAGAACGAGAGCACACTAATTTGGGGCAGGAATTAATTACCAAATATGGGAATCATAGCTGTTGTTTCGATTGTCACCTAACACATAAACATGACCGTTTGGTACATACTGCAAGGGATGGAATTAACATCAGGAAAAAAAAATTGAAATCAAATAAATGAAGGTCAAAATATGGATGAAGCAACAACTCTGGATTTTAGTCCTGGATGGAACATAGAAGAGGATGCATGAGATTCATCATCAATGCAAGTGCAAAGTCATAATATGGAACTTTTTAAGTTTAATTAGAAATTCTTCAAGAAAAGAACTACTGATCTCATAGAGGTGCGCTAATTGATTGGAGCATTAACCTCCTTTCCTAATCCATAGCTGTCAAATCATAATTCAAGAGTAAAATGAAAAAGGTGCATAGTAATTCATTAGGGACCCACAGTTAAGTTTGTTGTGTATGCTGGCTGTGCTGCTACATAATCTTCCTTCTGAGCAACACCATTGATGTAGAGAGACCCATGATGAACCTGAAAGGAATTGGAAATTCGAAGCAATCAAAACCTGATGCTATTAGTAATTTCAACCCCACTGCTCATCGAAGAGAGTAACCAGTTAATGGACAAGGTGTAGATAGCTACCCATCTTCTTGAATTGATTTAGTATTGATGTTTGTCACTATAACAGAGGAGCAAACTTTAGAGTTTAGACCAAGAAAAGGCCCAGAAAAAAAACAGAGGAGCAACCGATATATTCCATTGTACGAAAGAATCATTGACAAAAACATAATCTTAGCTTCAAAATCGGAAGATCTAGGAAATGAATGTTCATTTAAGTCAATCTTGTTGACATATTAGCATAGCGGGCTTCACTAGACTATCAAATCCATAACATTGGCATATAATCTTCAAGCAGGAGTTTCAACAAACATTTAGACCTACCTCAACAAAATCTCCGGCTTTTGCAACAACTCTCTTGATAACTATATCCGCTGCTTTGTCTCCCAACAGCTAAATAGAAAACCAACCATGTAACTGAACTGCATAACAAGCTATCTTCCAAGCATGTGCAAGTAGGCTAGATATTCCATACCACATCATTCATTAACATATACCTGTGTTGGATCTCGGAACAACACAATATCCTGTATGGCAGGACTCCTGATGTAATACGAAGCCTGTGGAAGTTCCCAAGAAATTTTGAATCATTAGTCAGATTACAAATGAAGAAAGGAAAAGAAGAGTAAAAAATATCTATTATTGTTGCTTCCAAGTATTTCTTAATTACCAGAATACAATTGGTCATCTGCTGAATTAACTACACACGCAGCACATAAGGCAATAAATGCCACCAGTTTTTTTTTTTTTTTTTTTAATGATTCCACAGAACGGTAAGATAATTAGGCATTGTGGCCTCAGTGTTTTAATTTTCTTACCACTAGCACACAAACTAGCGAGACTGACAGCATGTCCTCTCATAGAATAGCAACCTCTGTAGTCTGTGCAATATGTCAGACAGATGAACTGAGATGACTAGAATAGATCTCAAGTTAACAGAAATCCAAGGGTGGAAGCACTTGTTATCAAGAGGTTGAGCTTTTGACAGAGACTAAGGTAGTATGGGATGCTATTGCTAAGTCCCATAACGAAATGTTATACAGGGTATTTAAGTGCATTAGTTCTCCCATCTCAACAGACAGCCTTTAGGATAAGGTTTATCATTCCATTTGAGTATCTATCAATTGATATCAAAATCAGGTTGTCAATGGCTCTAAAAAGGACTGCCTATACCTATGGAGGGTTTTGGCAGGCAAAAATGTTGAATGAAATGTAGTGTTGCACTGTCAGGATGTGCCGTTAATTAAGGAAGAGAAAAATAAAGATCATATCATCATACACCTAACGCCATTATCCTCTTCTGGTCAACTTGAATTTCAGGTGCGTGGCAACCATGCGAGGGGCTATAATCAAAAGCAGATTCATCTCTGATGCAACTCAGCATCATTTCGTCAGACCATGGAGATTCAAGCATCGGAAAACTTATTAAGATTTCACTGAGATTACCCCCATCGAGCAGGAAAAGGCTTTAAATACCCAGACACTGTCAGCATCTAGAAAGCAGAAACAAACTATAGAATCCATTTCATTAACTGTAGAATTCGTATAACATTGGAGCTTGGGACCTATATGGTTTCAGACAGGGGATACAAAGGTTAACTTTATCCTGAAAAGGATACAAAGATGTTTTCTCTGCAAAGTCGTAACACTCCAGCCAATTGTATTGTTATGAAGTTGTCGCAAATGGTAATTAGTTGTCAAACTTGATGAGAGCCTAACTGTTACGGCTCTCTGCCCCTGCTGCAAATGCAGGACAGCCGAGGCCACATCTAATTATGTTTGGACCTACTAATAAATAATATCGATATTCTTCCAAGTAAAATAATCCAATTGTTACAACTAAGTTGATGACTAAAAGAAGGGGCTTGGAAAACTTTCTATTTACTGGAAGCGATATGCCAATTGTTAAACACAGTCCATCTCGTAGCAACACTGGGATGATAGTAACATGGGCATACAAAGAGCGCGAGACTAAGATTATGAGTTATTCCACTTTAAGTAAAAGGACATGTTGGGCTATCTTAAAGATTCCCGCGAAAGGAATAATTGCAGGTAAATCTGCGGCAAGTAAAGCTCCCATACTAATTACCAAACTTCTGGAAGCTTTATCCATATCTAACTAGCTAGAATCTTCTCAGGTCCCAGAGAATAAGAAAACATACACTGCGAAGCATGATCAACTTTTGGGCCACAAAAATATACAAAAGCACGTCTTTTTTTTTTTTTTTTGCCCCGGTTAAAAGAGCAGGTCTTTAATATTGAAGGGATGACCAAATCAACAAGAATCCAAGATTGTGTACCTTCTCGACAATAATTCGATCACCAACTGTGAGAGTCGGGTGCATAGAAGACGAAGGGATGAAGCGAAGCTCCAAAAACATAGACCAGAGAAGGAACATCACCAAAAGTCTCAAGAAGCCATCAAGACCGGGCCATCGAAGAAAGCCCCAACTCTGACAGGGCATCCATCTGAAGGAAGGACATGTAAGAAGAAAGGCGTACAATGCTGAGGGCCTCAGGAAACTCATCAGGTAGACTGCGTTAAATAAAGAGAGTAGAGGATTCAGAAATTGACGAAATCAAAGCTTCACAGTTCAAAATCTGATCTCGATTGAATATCGAGAATTGCTGAGTACAGGGGAAAGACAGGATGACTCTGGACTTCTGACTAAAATCGTTGTCTCAATGTAAAGAAAAAAGCAGAGAATGGAGAAATCACGGTAAAATACACTCATAAGGCAACAGAAAATCGTGGGTGAACAAGATTTTTAGATCAATTAGCAGTGAGGGAGGTCATTGTGACCAGCGATCACCATGAGAGAAGACCCAGCTTCAGACTTCAGCGTGCAGCTAAACGGGGAAAGAGAAATGGGTTTATATTTTATTTATATATCAGATGAGACATTTGACTACTTGCTGGCTAAGTAATGAAAAGCAAATATACAGACACACGACCAAAATAAAGGGCAGGTTCACGCGTTCAATGATCGTCAGCAGGGCTGCTGGTGCAATGTCAGCAGTGTGCACAGTCAACAGGTTGGGTGAGAGAAATTCTTACATAAGCACTACCTTATTTATGCTCTGGCTAATAATATTAAGACAAGTGGAATATTTTTATTTTAATCTTACGTGTAACTCCTCTCTTCCTCTACTATTTTACTTATTTTTCAGGAAAATGTGCTTCTTTTACTTTTTTTCTTCTGCAAAAACTTTTTGAAAAACTTCTCTCCTTCTTACTATCCGCTCCTCACATCTCTCTTTCGTTTTTTTGTCAGCCTCCACACCCCCAATTCCCCCTTCCTTTTCATCCATCACATCTCTAACACGCCACAAGTTTCTCTTCCTTTCTGATATTTTCAGATCAGACGCAAAGTCGCATCTTCTTCCTCTTTCAAATTGAAGAAACTCTCACGAGCAAAAGCCACTGGCGACATGCGGCTACCCGTGGAGGGCCTCGCGCTGAGACAAGAGCCGATGCAGCTGGTAGCGATGTTCAGGACACAGCAAAAAGTCAACAAAATGTATTTGCGAAAGAATGAGAGGGATGGAAAGAACTGGGTAGAGGAACCGGGGGGGGGGGGGTGGACGTTGAGGGAATGACGAAAGAGAGACGGGAGGAGCAGGTGGTAAGAGGGTGGAGGAGTTTTCATAAAGCTGCTGCCCCGGCCCCCGGGGGAGCAGTTTTTGTAAAAAATAATTAAAAAAATAGAGGGAGGGAGGAGTTACGCGAAGGCTTGCACATAGAATAAATAGAAGAAAAATTGTAATAAAATTTCACTTAAAAAAATTAAACACAAAAAAGTCTTTTAAAACTATCAAATTAATTTGAAGTTTTAGGGACTTCATTACAAGAGATTTTACTGGTTTAATTATTAAATTACTCTTATTTTTTTAGTATGTATTGACAATTAAAAGAATAATCGTTAACAACTTAAGATGAAACAATTAATAATTATTATAACAGATATTGACGTCTTATGCATTATATTTTTGTGATGTGCTGAGAAAATATATTGTTAATTGTTATGTTTTAGGTTTTTTTTTACCAGCATATTTTAAGTTCTTAACTACTACTCTTTTAGTTGTTAATACATATCTAAAAAAAATAAGAATAATTTGGTAATTAAACAAATAAAATCTCTTGCAATGAAGTCTCCTGAGACTTCAAATTAATTTGATGATTTTAAAAGACTTTTTTATATTTAATTCTTTTAGGTAGGAATTTACTGCAATTTTTTTTAGAATAGAAATACTTCACATATCATAATTTTATACTACCTCCAGTCTTTAATATAAGACTTTATTTTACTTTTATTTTGATCCTAAATATAAGACCCCAATTCACTTTATCTTTTATATTTATTTTTTTTCAAGATAATTCTTATAACAATAATGGTTCTAACTAATATACTTTATTAATAAAGATATTTTAGGAAAGACAACGCCTATTTATTACAAATAACTAACTTAATTTATTTTTTTAATCTTTTAAATTAATTAACTAGGTTTTGTAATTAAGACCGGAGTTAGTATATAAAAATTTTCCTCGAGTGATGGGGTAATTAATGCCGTCAACTTCAATCTAATAATTATTTTTATTAATAATATTTATTATTCACAAAGTAATATATACACGCACAGATGTATATAGACATGTCTACAAACAATAATATATAGATCCTTATCGTTTTTTTTTTTTTTTTTACCAAGAGATCCTTATCGTATTAACAGTGTAAGGATTTGATTGTAAAATGATCTGGATCTTCAACCAAAAGTAATGGTCAGTTATAGAAGCTGAAATTTTCGTCGAACTTACAATTTTTTTTTTTTAGCAAGCTCACATAAACTGATTTAAAAACGTTTTTATCCTACGAAAGAAATAGAATTGATGAAGAAGAATAATCACTAACTTGCTCTTTTTCTTTCTTTTTTCCTTTCCACAAATCACGATGACTTGTTCTTTTCATCGGTAGAGACTGGGTATTTTAAATAAAGCAGTTATGTTCTGCATAAACTTTTCTAGGAATTTAAGGACGTTATAAATTTTAAACACGAAATGTTTAACCTCTTAAATTACGTTGTTGGTGTCGTCATCAACCCCCCCCGGGGGCTCAAGGTGAGATAATAATGCTCAAAAGCATGCTCGAACATGTAATACTGCAAAACAGTTGATATCAAATGGGGGGAAATTACATTTTGGAAGTTACAGGTTAAAGAAAGCAGTTACTTCACTCAGAGTAACAGTCAAACTAAAGCCTATCCAACCGAGAATTGGACAATTAGATGAAATTGTCTGCGCTCAACTTTGGAAAAGTTCTTGAGGGATTGATGGAGGACACGACTTCTTTGCCACATATTTGTACTGAAACAGGAAAAGAAGTAGGAGAGAAAACATTAGAAACTAGACTTACGATGAAGAAAACACGTACCTACGCACGCGGCACAAAACAGCTTACCTTGTGTTGACTGTATTTCTCCCGGATTGCAGGCAAGCCAGAACTATGGCTGTTATAACATAGACGATGGAGATCCTTCACACAGTTACGCAAATCAGAAGCCTTGTAGAGTGTGTAATGCTGCAATGTAGAATTCTGTCGCAGAAATGACATCAAGTCAAGCAAAAATGACATTAACATGGAATTCTGGACGCCTCTTTTTTGTTTTTTGTTTTTTTTTGGAGCTATGAAGAGCAGCATACCCATGGTTTCTTTGAAGGGAAAAGAATGAATTTAGCCAGGAAGATTGCAGAAGCAGCTATAAGTGATGGGGCATAACAGAGCATTGTATACTCCAGTAAAGACAATTCAGCAATATAGTTGGTCAGGCACTCCAATTGTAATGATGCCACCTGAGAAATCAGTAGGAGTCAAGCACCAATCATTTCTTGCCACATTGATAATCCTTTTTGAAGAAAGCCAAAGCGAGAAAGATACCTCGTTGACTCCTTGAGCTGCGCGAACAAATTGTCTGAAGTCAAATGAATCAAGGGTAACAAAAAGTATTAGGGGAGCGTAAAAGAACTAAGGTTTATATGATGGTAATCTGCCAGCTACTACAGTACTACCTTAAGAAACATTTTATTGTCGGAGCTGTCATTTCAAACCTTAGATAATTTAAGACAGCGGATTCCATTTGCAAAACCTGCATCAAGTGATTTACTTGAGACTTGCACACTTCAAATGATTCACAGTCACTTGAAAAATGAACAATTTAGGGAAGCAGAAGAACCCAAACCTCTTCTTTGAAGTACGTGTTATCAGTTATATAACAATATTCCTCCACCTGAGGGGCACAAATCTCCTCGTACTTACTGTCAATCGAAACCAAACATAAAATATTGTCACTCTACGTCCATACAGCATTACTATTGTAGAGGGGGGAAAGTAAAATTCCCATGAATACAGTAACAGTATGCTTCCTTACGCGGCAATCATCATGCAGGCAACACCAAGTAATTGTAACTTTTGCCTACTCATCACATTCCCTGAAAGATACCGATCTATGTAGTTGACTGTCAAATACAATGTATCAGGTACAAGCCTATACTCTTCAGCCACCTGCAGCAGGAAATTGCAGTTTAGCATGTCTCGGGGCGCGACAATGAACTCTTGTTTGACTTTCGGCACAATCCAAAATTATCCGTCAGTCCAAGGTTCTCCGTTTGCAATATCTCAAATCAATATTTTTGAAGCAAGCTTTTCAAATCTACGTGGGGGAATTGCAAAAAAACAAATGAATGCAAAAGGTGCACAGCAGATATTACCTCGACGAGCCAGTCAACTAATATGGCACGCATGTTGGAATTTATGTCCTTCTGAATTCTCTCCATGAAGTCTGTGGAAGGCCTTTTCTTTCCCTAAGAGTCCAAAAACGAACCCAAATGAGAACGTACATCATAAAAGTACAAAAAAAAAAAAAAAACCGATTAATGTCTTTCTAGTAAATCTTGAAACGCAACAAGGAGGTTGCATCTTGGATGTAGAATAAATAATCATGTTCTACAGAGGAAGTGAAAACAGAACACAAGTTGTAAAATTCTATCAAGGCAAAAAAAAATCTATCAAGGAAAAAAAAAATCAACCTCGGACGCACGCAAATGCTTGTAGATATCACATGCATAAGGTGCACAAAGCTGAGGATCCAAGTAGTTGTCGTCGATATTGACAAATTTGCCATCTCTTTCCAAGTCAACAAGTGTGTCTCTGCTGCAAACATTAACTACAAATACACCAATAGAATAGCATTAGAAAGTTTCGTAAAATGAAAGATTTTGCACTTATCTGCCCAAAAGATAAAGACACGCGATAGTTGAAGAATTGTTTGCCAAATGATTTTGCTGTACCAAAGCTAAGCCAATTGAACTAATTGCTCGGACAAAGAAAATGAAAAATTCAACAAGAAACCTGGCGCCTCCGTATTATCTGAGATGTTCAGATTGCTGAATGTCCTTCTATCAGTAGAATCAAGGGCTGAAATATCGCTGTTGTCAATATATTCAATTTCATGGCTCTTGAAAGAATCACAGGTAGACATCGTCTCGTCCAGAGAAACTGACATCCTGTCTGATTTGACAGGAGAAGTATCCATTCTGCAAGGGAGAGCAACAGTGGCAGAATTACTTCCATCCCTTTGCGGAAAAGAAGTGGCCTTGGGGAAAACAACTGCAGTCGATTTAGCATTTAACGAAGTAGGAATTTTATTCCTGGAAATGGCTGAGCTTGTGGTGCAAGCAGGGAATTTCTTCTTTGTCTGAGTAATTTTAGTTGTGCACGGTACCTTCCAATACAAAACTCAGACAATTCAGAACCAAAGATGAACTTGCAGCAAACCAATAACCCAGTTCGCAACAGCCATCAAACAGTTTCGTGATAAGAACTGATAACGAAGACTTTGCATCAAAGACGAATTAAGATTTAAGACCATACCATGAAACACAACCTGCAAGCCTAACTGCCTAAACACCTCGCTCAACTATTTTTAATATTTGGCTGAGCTTACACCTTGAATGTCTTGGGATGATCTCTTTGACTAGACATGGATAGACTTCCTCACATGTTTGATATCAGGCTCCTCAATAAATGCATGGAATGCAGAAAAAAAATAAAAAATTGAACTCCCAGTCGATAGAAAAATATCCACGGATCAAATTCTTAGTGGAGAACCTTTAAACACCAAAAACTTCGCCCAAGTTCTGTCCTAATTTCATTTATCTCAGCCCTCTAGATTTCTCAACACCCCAAGTTCCCCTATGAAACATCAATTTTACTTCTTCAGGCGCAAGAATAATAAAACTTTATTAATCTGTTATATTAAACAACGTTGATAAAACTCTTAATAGAAATGCTGCTTCGCCGTGCTGTGTTAATTCAGTCACCCTAAGAAGTTAAGCAGCCAAAGTAATATTCAATACCAAAGTAGATGACGGCAGTGACTTTCGCAAAGCACTGTGAGACGCATTGTTTTGATTGGTCAGGTTACTGAGAGGCGCTCGCTTCTTGACCAAGTGTGGAGGGGCTGCCATAGCCTTCCCCGCATTCTCCGATGACGACGCGCGCCGCTTTGCCATAGACGACGTCGTCGAGGAGGAAAACGATGGACGCCGATTCTGGGTTGACATTCTAGTTTCAAGATCAAAACCAGGTCACAATTTCGGGAACACAAATGTTTCCTTAGATATCCCCACTCCTCCAAGGTGATCACGCTTCTAATGGAAACCAAAGGCGCTGAAGAAGAAGAACAAGAAGAAGCAGGAAGTGAATGAGCGGAAAGAGATGGCTAAGAAGGGTCTCTGCTCTGTGCCGAGACAGAAGGGGGGCGTTTTCCGCTGCAAATTTAAAAAATAATAAATTAAATAAATATTGTGCTCTTGGAGCGGAGAAACGGGTCGATTTGAAATTGGACGATGTCCAGGCCGTGGCTTCGACTCGGTAATCGTTACCAGGAAAGAGGGGGCGCGGAGGTGGGCCCCGCGTGGTTCCCCACTGTTTTGGGTCCAACATCCAGGGCATCCTCAAGTCAAGCGGCTGATCTGTCCTATTTTCCACTCCTTGGAAAGATCTGATTGGTCCGTCGCTGCCTTGAAAGTAACGGGCTGTGAATCAGGGTTTTCAGTTTGAATTCGAATTCAAACGGTCACTTCATCTGGGTTAGCTGTTTCTTGGAGCCTCATCTAATATTTTAAAATATTTTTAAAAAATATATTTAATAAAATAAAATATTTTGTAGTACATTTAAAATTTTAAAATATTTTTTAAGTACATTTAAAACCTTGAAATATTTTTTTGTTTTGGTGTCCCCCAAAAATATTTTTTGATGCTGGGCACACCCAAAAAAAATATTTTAGGATGTTAGGCATACTACTCCTTCCATTCCTTATTATAAGAGACAAATAATCAAATTACGTTGATAAAAAAACAGTTAAAATTAGTTGAGAACAATTAGTATGTAAAAAGTATAATATTTTTTCCAACAATGCCCTCATTAATAAGGAGAGAGGGTATGAAAGAGAACAATTAAATTATTAAAAGAAAGAGAAGTGGGAGGGAGAGAGAGTATGAGTTGGAGACAAAATAAATAGGGGTAAAATAGAAAATCAATACAAAAAATAAAGACAACTTTTAAGTATCTCTTATATGTGGGAACATACCATAAGCATCAAATGTCTCTTATAATAAGGAACGGAGGGAGTAAAAAATATTACAAGATGCTGGGTGTACTTAAAAATATAATTTAAAATATTAAATATACTACAAGATATTTTAAGGTGTTTGGCGCACCTAAAAAATATTTCAGGATACAAGATGCACTTAAAAAAATATTTTTTTAAGTGTTGGGTGTACCTTAACTCTAATACCAACCCAGCTCAACTCATCACTTCATCAGCCATGGATTAGTCTTGATAAGAAAAATACTAATGACATATTTTCGTTGTTATTTAGGGGGTATTTGGGAGGTTACGGAAGTATACTAAAAATGTATTTTCAAGCAAATGAAGACAAATTTTCTCTCACATACTTATCTCAAACTCAATAAAATTACTTTTAAAATTATGATTCAATTTTCATCCAAACACTCCTTTAAAAATATAATATCAAATATCAGACCTTATAAACTAATTATTAATTATTAATAAGCAATAATACAATCTCCTATTAAAAGACTATGGGAAGCATTTTGAGAAAGAGAAAAAGGTTGGGAGAATTCTTACAGCAAAAAATATACTACTTCCGGTCTTAATTATAAAGCCTCATTTGTAGAACTATAAATGAGGCTTTATAATTAAGACATGAGGTAGTACTAAACATGCAAAGGAATAGCACCTAAACTCTAATTCCTCTGTCCATCAAGATCCACAATCTCCGAGTGGAGGTTAACAAGATGCATCCGGTGATATATTTAAATATTAATATAATTTTTAGGGGGGATATCATGTTCTAATTGATGGTTTGAACTAACTCAAATTCAAATTGGGTCAAGTCTTAACCTAAAAATAACCTTCCAAAGCACGTCATCTTCATATTTATTACCCTGGTAATCAAATTTAATAGCCGATGGTTAAGAAACTCACACCTCTTCCGTTTAAAACAGTGTACGTTTGGTCATACACTATAATGTGGGGCATGGACTAGACGTACAGTTAATGGTGGGATATAGTTGGCAGGAAAAAAAAATAATGGTGGGATATATATTAAGAAAAATACTAGTTTTTAATTAAATGTGTTTTGAATCTTTCTAAAAGTTCTTATTTTTACCAACTAATAATACAAGCATAACTTATAAGTTTCACATGACTTCTGCGAGAGAATAGCGACACACACATATATATATTTGAAATATTAGTGTTAACAGAAAAACTAGTATTTTTTTCGGTTTCATTTATAAGTTTCACATTTAAAGAAAAACGTAATCCATTTTATAAGCTTTGATTTGAAATTTGTCTAAATATTTAACGTATTTTTAAAATTTTGCCGCTAATTGTTTATTCTCTCTTTTTTTTCCATGTACTCTTGTCAAATTTTTTATATATTCTCATTTATTTTTTCTTATTTATTGTAAAAGCATCTTTAAGACCAAAACTATTTTTGTAACATATTTATTATTTTTAATTAATTTTAACTACTTGTTTGTTACTCGTAAATTAATTTTTTGAAATTTATACAAGAAATATAGAGAATATCTACTTAAGTTGTGTGATAGGGTGATGGGTAGTTTTGATCGTTCCTCATCCCTTCTCAGCATGCCAAGCAGCAGCTTCGCAAGTCACAGGATATCTACTTTGTGCTGTCCCCATGGACAATTGAAAAGCTTGTAACTTGGCGTGTGTATTTTTTATTTAATACAATCAAATATGTGCACGCATATAAATATATTGGTGTCCGATTTGAATTCAGAACCCCGTCTAAATATGGTGATTAGCATTATTGTTAGACAACTAGCCATGAACAAATTTAGTGTGTTTAACTTTACATTGAAAGTCATGGTTTTCGTCGGAGCGCTGTGATACCAAACACGCTTTTAAACTTTAAACAGGGACTAGCTCTAACTGCAAGGGAACATAATATAAATATTATTTGCATTGTAAAGTATATATTATACATTTTTTGTCCTAAATGTAAGACTTTTATATATTAAATACAATACCTTTATACATACTAGTAATACTAGTATATAGGGGTCTTATATTTAAAACTAGATGAGTATTTATGAATGAAGGATTCGCAAATAATTTTTTTCTTAACGGTTATATTTATACTATATATAATTCTGCACTATCATATTCACAAATGAAAATTAAAAGTATGAATCAGCTTATGTAATTATAGCAAACGACCTTTTTGACTTTTGTATAGGCTGGAGAGAATCATGGGTGTATAGATACGTTAGCTATAAAAGCCCCTGCTATACTAACGGGATTGGATTTAACAAAAAGATATAGTCCCTCACAATATGGTAAATTAAGATTTGAATTCCTGCTAAGAGAAGTGTCTGTATTTAGTACCTAACAGTGTCTTGAATATGATTATTTCTAAAAGAAGGATACCTATACTTTAGCAAAAAAAAAAAAAAACTCGTAGTAACCTCATACTATGAAAATATCCTCCTGTAATAATCATCTGATCTTATTTTTAACGCACTTTTAATATCTTTTATCATAATCATGATTTTTTTGCTAGCTATAATCATGAAAATTTTAAATCATGTTAATTCTATTTTAAAATTTAGTAATTTGTTAACCTTGTTGTTTTTTAATATATATTCTGTTGGAATATTTTTAAAATGAAGAGATGTATTTTTTAGAAAAGTCATGTCCTTATATAAATCTATTAAATTAATAAATTTATATAAGGGGTTATGTCTTTATATAAATTAATAAATTTATTTGAAGGGTTGTGTCTTTATATAAATTAATATATTTATATGAAGGGTTATGTAGGAAGTTACAATATTAAATGAACCTACATATTAAATACATTGTACTCCCTCCGTTCCTTATTATAAGAGACATTTGATGCTTATGGCATGTTTCTATATATAAGAGACACTTAAAAGTTGTCTCTACTTTTTTGTGTTGATTTCCTATTTTACCCATATTTATTGTCTCTAATTCACACACACACACTCTCTCTCCCACTTCTCTTTCTTTCAATAATTTAATTGTTCTCTCTCATGCTCTCTCTCCTTATTAATGAGGGTATTTTTGGAAAAAAGATTATATTTTTTACACATTGATTGCTCTTAACTAATTTTAACTGCTTTTTTAATCAACGTAATTCGGTTATTCGTCTCTTGTAATAAGGAACGGAGGGAGTATTTAACAAAAGGTCATGTAGGAAGTTAAAACATTAAATGAACCTACATACTAAATTCATTGTATTTATTTAAATTATGTTGGTTCATAAACCAACATATGGTTGTGACTTTTTATTTAGTAAGTTTTTATTCTAAAATGTATCTCTTCAAGGCATCATTTCATGCTCTATATAAACCCTTCACCATCATTTCATTTGGAGATATACAACACAATCTCTAAGATCAAACTCATTGCCTTTGTCTTTGAGTGCACACAGAGATAGAATCAAATTATCACTTTGTAAAAGCCATTGTTGTCTTCGCTTGAATTTTGGAAGTGCAATCCATATTCAAGGGTCTTCATTGTATCCCGAAAGAAATTCGCCGGTCAACTCAACTTGCACCCTAAAAGATAGGAATATGTGTAGGCAAATTAAGTCTAAAGGAAAGTGTTATCTACGCCTTGAAGACATAGTGCACCACTTTCTTCATACCTTCTTCTTGTACTTTTCAGAGAACCATTCCCGCGAACATATTCTCTATTTTAATAGCTTGTCCCTATGAATAACAGATGAATGATGTAATTATATATACAGAAAAAAAATTTATTGGCTTAATTTACCTTAAAATAGTATTTGTAATAGTTGTACAAGTTAAATGTTCTATTAAATAATAATTCTAACTAATTTAACAAATTTACTTAATTTATTTAAATTAATTAATTTGCTCTTATATCAAGGATGTAAAGTAGTACTACCTTCGGTCCTTAATATAAAACCTTATTTGATTTTTATTTTGATCTTAAATGTAAGACCCCTATCCACTTTGTTTCTTATATTTATGTATTTTTTTCTCAAAGTAATCTTTCTAGCAATGGTAGTTTTAGCCAATACACTTGATTAGTAAAATATTTTAGAAAAGACAACATTTATTTGTTACAAATAACTAATTTAATTTTTTTCTTAATCTCTTTAAATTAGCCAACTAGCTCTTATAATTAGTAATGGAGGCAGTATTTACTAAGACCTGAATTATTTAAATTAGCTTTAAACGATCCAATTTTAACATTATAAGAATACTAAATTCATTTTTAAGAGGATCTATTATGCTTAATGCTCTGTCCCAGAAAAAACAAATGTAAACTCAATCCCGCGGGGGTCGTTGCGCCACAAGAAAGAACCCCGCGCAAGCGACGAAACGACGCGTTCGAAAGAGCGGGAAAAAGCCCTACCGCAAGTCAGCATTTGCAGCTTAGCACTGGCCACAGGCAGCAGACACAAGAAATCCGACAGTGGACGCAAGGAGATGGCGCCAATCGTTCAGAGCTCCCAGCCATGGGTGGAGAAATAGTAAGAATTTCTTGTTTTTCTTCCTCATATAGTCAATATCCTGCTTTGTTTTGCTTAGAGTTCTCTCTACGAATGACCTCAGTCGGCCAAGGCAAGTTAAAGATGTAGCCCACCAGGATGAAGTGGTTCGAGTACTCACAAACACCCTCGAAACCGGAAGTGTAATTACTAATTTCCCTTTCTGTCGCATTTCTTTGAGCCTATTTTGCTTGCATCAAAATGCTCTTTTGATTTTTCACTACCTGATGTAATTACTTCGATGCTGTGTATTACAGTGCCCGCACATGCTATTCTATGGTCCACCCGGCACTGGAAAGACCACAACTGCACTTGCGATTGCCCATCAGCTCTTCGGGTATTTTTTGTATTATTAACGTGAAAGGCACATATTTTGGTGTACATATGTATAAATAGAACATTGAAACTTGGTAAATTTGCCCATGGAATACGTATGGAAAATGGAAGATTTCTCATCATAAAACAAATTTAGTCAGTTACATCTAGTCATAAAGATCCGTGGACTATGGAGAAAGAAACACGCACTTCATGCACAACGGCTTGTGGCAATAAATTACCTGAAATACTCACGTTTGAAAAATTGGAAAGGATGAGATAAGTTCGTGAGTTTAGAGAAGCATTGTGAGAACTCGATTGTTAACAGTGTTTTTTTTTTTTGGTGTGGTTATTTTACTTGGTCTTCATCAGTAACTAGTATGCTGGTGCTGTCTTCCTTAACCCAACCTTAAACCTTGTAAGCTGATATGCATCAGGGGGTTCTAGTATCTTTAATTCATTCATCAGCTTTGCTGTCATCTTGACGATCGGCACCTTTCTTATCTTGCAGACCGGAGCTTTACAAGTCTAGGGTGCTGGAACTGAATGCGAGTGATGATCGTGGGATTAATGTTGTGCGGACAAAGATTAAGGATTTTGCCGCTGTGGCTGTTAGTACTAGTCAGCGTAAGAGGTATATTATGTTGTAATATCTAGTCCTCTTCTGAGAATGATTTTCTTTATTTTTGTTCTGTTCATATATTTTGTTTGCGCTCCTCTCATTATTTTGGCGTTATCAAATTCAGTGGTCACCCATGCCCGCCTTATAAGATTATTGTTCTAGATGAGGCAGATTCAATGACCGAAGATGCTCAGGCACGTTTGGGTACATTTAATTTTCTAACTTTGGTTGTTGTGAAGTTGTACGGTCATCTCACCTCTTGTATTCTTTTGTACAGAATGCTCTGCGTCGTACAATGGAAACTTACTCTAAGGTTACAAGGTTCTTTTTTATATGCAATTACATCAGCAGGTATCTTATCTGTCATGTTACAACTACAAATTACTATCCTTAGCATTTTTACTGTCATATATTTAAAAAGCTACACAGGACTAGTTACTTTTTTCTTCTCCATTATTTTTCTGCCCTTATATCTTCTATACCTCAACAGCTATACGATTTGATCAACCTTGACCCAGTCCCAAAGGATCATTCTTTTGGTTACAGAGTTCCTTGAATATTATTAGAGTTCCTTGAATAGTCTGCGGAAAATGATAAAGCTACAGAGTTCATTTGCACAACATTTTATCCTTCTATTCATGTCAGTGCTTTGATCAAGGAGAGATGTGCTTTGGGTTTTATGACAGAAAGGTTATGAATTTTTGTAGGATTATAGAACCACTTGCTTCAAGGTGTGCAAAATTCAGGTTTAAGCCGCTGTCAGAAGAAATCATGAGCAGCCGGATACTGTACATTTGCAATGAAGAAGGGCTTAATCTTGATTCTGAGGTGGGAATCCAAGAGATTAGAGCTTATATAGCAATAATGTCGTTTGGAATACATATGTGTGTGTGTGTGTGTTCTGTATTTATGGTGGTTTTATCGACGTATTAGTGAAATATTTAATGCTTCTTTGCCTTCATAGGCTCTTTCAACCCTTAGTTCCATTTCTCAAGGAGATCTCCGTAGGGCTATTACATACTTACAGGTGAGATACATTCTTTGATATCGTAAGTTATAGACCTTCTGATTTTGTGATTTCTCGTGATGGCTGTTTCCTGTAAATTTAGTGGGTCGGTAACTTTGTGAACTGAGCTGGATCAACTTGTGAGTGTTGGTGCGCGTGTGTGTTAACGGGTGTGATTCCAACCAGTTCTGCTTACCCCTCCCCCCCCCCCCCAAAAAAAAAAAAAAAAAACCTTGCTAATTCCTTTAAGCTGATGGTGCTGCTCTCTGGAAAATAGGGATTATCTACCAAATTAAGGTGTTGTTGGTAGTTTTCCAAGTTTGTTTGATAGTAGGTCTACTATGCTTGCTTTTACCTTATCTGTAAAGCTAGTTTATGGGAAAAATTTCTGATTCTCTTGTCCACAATAGTTGGTTAAAAACTTGGTGGTACTGCCAAGATGAGTTGCTTTATTAATTGTTTATGTTCCCTTCATTGAGAACACTTTATAATATCGTATTGTATTTTTTGATGAAGCAGTCTTTCAAAATTAATAAGGATGAAGCTTCTGTTTCCATTATTTATGCTACAGATTTCAACTGCATCTTTTCATCTTTTGGTAGCTTAATCTCTTTTCTGGCAACAGCAATAACCGAGCTTTAGTGCATAGCATCAAGCATCTACGCATGGTTGCATTTTCCATCTGTCATTTGAACTAACATATTGACATTGCAGTCGGCTGCCCGCTTATTTGGATCTTCAATTTCTTCAAAGGACCTGATTTCTGTCTCTGGGGTAGGTTGTGGTACTAACCTTTTTTGTCTTGTGAAGTTTTGGGAAAAGTTAAAATACAGCATGCATTAAAAAATTTTTTTTGGAGTCATCGTGATTGGCATAATGTTTGTAAAAACTGGCTATTATGTAGTCAATGGTGCTGTTGCTTAATGGTATCTTTCTGACCTAAAAAAGTTGAAGGGTTTGAAATGAAATTGTTGCTTTCATTTGTTCTTTTCTTTCTCTGTCTTTTTCCCCTTTTAAATAATTCCCCACCTCTCATTCACTCACTCTCAAACGGGTTTAAAAATGTTTGTTGTGCCTCTTGATATAGAAGTTCACTTCTCAGTAAGTAATATATGCTATTTTGTGTTTAAGGATGATAATTATTGATCATAGCGGCTTCCTACGTGAAATCTTCTGTTCTTGCCATGAAACCGATTTATTGGCAGTTCTTAGAATGATTAACTGATTGGTAATTCAGTCATGTATTTATTTCGACGCCATTTGCGTTTTAGTTGTTTTCCTTGGGGACACTTGTTTGTTTAAATTCTTTATTCATTTTCACCCTGTAGTTTCCTGACTTCCTAAAATCTCTCAATGTATCAGGTCGTTCCAACAGAGGTTGTGCAAGCATTTCTTGCAACATGTAAAAGTGGTAATTTTGATCTAGCAAACAAGGAGGTCAATGATTTCATTGCAGAAGGATATCCAGTCTCTCAGTTACTAACTCAGGTTTGTTTTTGCCAGTTTGGGGAATCCTTTTTGCCAATAATTGCAGAATCAGTTCTTTTACTGAAGGATCTATTGTGCTTTCTCTTTTAAACCCAGTTATTTGAGGCCATTGTTGAAGCAGGTGATATATCAGATGAACAGAAGGCAAGAATATCCAAGAAATTGGGTGAAGCAGATAAGGTGCTTTGTGATCCCTATGGTTTGTCAGAAGTTTTGACCATCCTGTTTTGTCCTTTAGAACTGTAGTTCAGCTTGCTCCTTGATTGGGGCTTCGGCATCTTGTAATTGGCTTTCAGAAGCTTGACAAGTTTGCTCAAGGCCTGTGCGGCTCATTTCTTATTCATTGCTTGTGGATTTGCAGTGCCTTGTGGATGGTGCCGATGAATATTTGCAGCTTCTTGATGTGGCCAGCAATACAATTCGAGCTTGCTGTAACATGCCAGAGACTTTTTCTTTCGAGGGATAGTTATGAATATAAAATTATGCACATGCAACTTGTTAAAAAAGACCAGAGTCTACTAAAATTCATACTATGTAATGCTGGCCAGGTCAGAGTCTTGGTCTTGCGGAAACTTGCCATGTGACTGTAATCTGTATCTATTATTGTTATTGGCTTCCAAATAGCTTCGCGATCTTGTTACTTGTGTTCGATATAAGGGAAAAAGAGAACAAAGATTCCCGTGTTTATGCCGCAGAAAGACAAGTATACTGTGGAATATCAGCTGCATAATAAAACGTCATAACCAGCAATATCCCGGGCAACGTGTATGAAGAATTCGAATCTTGCGTATGTTCTGGTTGATATGTATTTCACATTGGCCCATCTGTTCACAGATGGTAAGTTGAGATAATAGAAAGAAATGGATATGAAAAAGGAAAGAAAAAGAAATAAATGACGCTTGATCGGCAAATCTATATTTGGTTGGACAAAAACAATTGGGTGATGTAAGGAAAAACAGATTAAACGAGGATATATCACTTGATATATTAGATAACAATGGTTATCTTGAATCATTATCAATAAGAAAGCGTTTTCAAATAATTGTTTTTAATTATCATTGTAAATAAAATATAGTTAAATAAGTAATTCTAGTTGTAATAGTAAAAAAATATTAATTTTTATCTTGAAAACTTTATTTTCCTTTTTCTAAATACAAAATTTAAATTCTCATTGATAGGAAAACAAACAAGAAATACTTTCAATTTCTTAACTAAAGAAAACATTTTCTTTTTTGACCCGAAAAAGAAAACATTTTATTTATTTATTTTTTATTACATTACATGGAACTTTACAGTTTACCCACCCACCCTTATCTTTATTTAATTTTATTTATCAAGTAAATACAAATAAAAGCTTGTTCATTTGTGATAGCGCTCATTTTAATTTAAACTACTTAGATAAGTTTTTATATGCTAGTATACCCAAAATAAAAATGTGTTTTCGTTATCCATTACAAACTCAATTTGAAAAATTAGAAAAGTGAAGATAAAAGCTTTTAATTAATTTTTTATTAATTTTTATATATATTTTTTAAATTTTAAAACCCCACTTCTCTAATTTTTCAAATCAAATTTATTAAAATTTTTAATCCCCTTTTCTGTTTTTTATTTTTCTCATAGCAAGCAGTACCTAGGCCCTGAACGGCTGAACAAATCCCTCCTCAGCCAACCTTTGTTATTTTGAATTTGATTGCATGGTTTGTGATCATGTTCTCCTTGTTTTTAAAGTTGACATTCTCTCCCCCATATAGGCTGCATATTAAATGGTCTCGGTCGTGGCATAATAATGAATTTTATGATTCCAACCAGGCCCGTGCATTGGCATCGAAAACACCTTGTGAACCAGGTACTCGTCGCCGTGATTCAAAACCGTGCTTTTGATACCCACTTGGCTGCTGCATCAGCTTCTGTCAATCCCAATGCTGCTTCTTTGTGGACGGTTGATGTGGTTTCGGAAGTGCTAAGGTCTATTCCCAGATACTTTTTCCAGTCCTCTCGCTCTATTGGCCGTCAGGGAGGTTTCCGGCATCGTGCTCCTCTGAAACAACGCAAGCTCAAGGAGGAAGAAGATAAGCTTCGCAAGAATGTGCTTGTTCTTGGCCCTGCTGCTCACAGAGACCCACAGAGGGTCAAGCTTGGATTGGGCAAAGCAATTGAATTCTACTATTGGGTCGAAAACCATTTTGGATTTACCCACAACGAGACCACTTGCAGGGAGATGGCTTGTGTATTGGCTAAAGGGAATAAACTGAATGCTCTTTGGGATTTTCTGAAGGAGATGTCTAGGAGGACTGGTGGGTTGGTTACCACGGCGACTGTTACGTGTTTGATAAAAGTACTAGGAGAAGAGGGATTAGTTAATGAAGCATTAATTACATTCTATAGGATGAAGCAATACCACTGTAAACCGGACGTATATGCTTACAACAACATGATATATGTTCTTTGCAAGGTGAGATATTACAAAAAGGCAAGGTTTTTGTTGGAGCAGATGGAGCTTCCTGGCTTTAGATGCCCACCTGACACATTTACTTATACTATTTTAATAAGTTCCTACTGCAAATTTAGCATGCAAACTGGAAGTAGGAAGGCAACTAGGAGGAGATTGTGGGAAGCTAACCATCTGTTTCGCCTAATGCTCTTCAAGGGCTTTGTTCCTGATTTTGTGACGTATAATGCCTTGATTGATGGTTGCTGTAAAACATATAGGATTGATAGAGCATTGGAATTATTTGAAGATATGAAGAAAAGAGGTTGTGTTCCCAATCGAGTTACATATGACTCTTTCATTAGGTATTATAGTGCCGTAAATGAGATAGACAAAGCTATTGAGATGTTACGTCGTATGCAGAATTTGAATCATGGAATACCCACTTCAAGTTCATATACCCCTATTATTCATGCTTTGTGTGAAGTTGGAAGAGTTGTTGATGCTCGGAATTTCCTTGTTGAGTTGGTTGATGGAGGATCAACACCCAGAGAATATACATACAGATTGGTTTGTGATGCCCTGCACTCAGTGGGAGAGGCCAGCTTGTTAAGCGAAGAAGTGCACAAGAGAATAAGAGATGGGATACGGAGCAGATACATGCAGACCATGAAAATCAAACCAATTATGGCTCGCAAAGGATATCCTGAAATGGAAGTAGTTTGATTTCTTCTGAATGGAACCGGTTATGTTCAAAAAATCAGTATGTTCCAATGCTGAATATTATTTAGATTGCGGCTTGCTGCTATTTTAAATTCAGGACATGATCATCTTAGTCCTCATGTGAGTAGCTGTTATTTTAATCGGAGAGAGTTTTTGATTATTCGCAGAGGTTGGCTTTGGAGAATGAACTTTTGATGGCATTTTAGTCTCTATAGTAGTGCCATTTTGTTCGACGCTAGCCAAGTCTGACAACCACAACCATTCTACAAAGAAGCAAGAACCTGACCTGGCATTTGCTGTGCGTAAGATGATACTGCATATTAGCCGTAACGGACTACTTCGAATTCAGAGGACCGGCGATACTCCATATGCTTGTCTTCCTTTTCCTGTCAAATTTCCCAGCTGATGCAAAATGCTCTCATTGAGTGATATACTCTTTGATCATGTTCATGCGCCTATCGTACAAGTTGAAATGTACTTGTCACAACTCATCAATCAAACGTAAAAGCTTGTAAATGGCTGTGGAATGCATTCCCATTCACGTGATCTGATTTTTTTTTTTTTTCAATATACGTGTTTTAGTGATGTGCCAATATAAATTATAGAAATGCTTGTGTAAGGAAAACGATTTATGCGTCCCGCTCCATGCCATTTGAAATCAGTGAGTACCCATTATGTTGGATTTAGCCGGCTTTTAGCTGTTAGGGTCTACATCAGTAAAGAAGGGGTGCAAAACAAGTTTGCATATAGTGATAAGTAAGATAGCAGTCTACTCATATAACTACTAAACAATAGAGTGGAGACAAGATATCCGTCGAGGCGTTCGTCAGAATTTATTGAGAAATAATAAAGTATAGCGGCATGAATCATACCTTACATAAATGAGGCATTGAAGGCACTAATAATACAATTGTATATTCTGGAATGTTATCGTATAAATATGTCAGTCAAATTAGGATATAATGCATCAACCGAGTGATGCAGCATGGCACTGCAAAGTCATCTAACTTATAAAATGTATTGTAAGATTTTAATTTGGATCTCACTTTCATCGTCAACTGCACATGACGCCGAGAAATCGGTCACAAGACTTGAAGATAATTAAGGTCAAAGGTATCCCTTTTAATCCTCATCAGCCGTTCGTCTACTTGCGACATCAGTAAAAACAGAACTTATTTCTTCCGATCATAGTTGATTTAATTGTTTTCTGCAACAGGACAAATATAGTATATAAGTTGCCTGTTGGAGAGTAATCAAATTTAAATGTTCTAAAATTTTAAATAAAGTGATACACACACATACACACAACAGAGTCAATAAAAAATAAATTTCCAAAGCACTGTCTCTATTTATATCATTTTCTTTTTACCTGAGACATATTATGTTGTCTATTCAATAAGAACAATTTAAAATTCTAGACAACCAAGTTAGCGTTGACCCAAATCTAAAGTGAAAAGGCAAGCTGCATTCGCAAATTAGGATGAGGATAATTAAGGACGGCTAAGTTATCAACTCGTTTTGTCTTGAGCTTCAACATTTAAAAACAACATTATCTAACTGAATGAGTATAAAATCACGAATCATGCTGCTTTTGCTTCCCCTTGGGTCAATCAATTTAACAGGAATGATTCTTTACATACACGCACACACAAAAGAATGTATTAGGTGTGTCAAATATATAATTCCTTTCGTTATTGAGCAAATGAGATAGGTATTAATTAACAAATAAAATAATATGAATATTATGTATCTTGATTTTTATGTAAAAAATCTCGTTTTCTGTATAACCTGAACAAGACATAAGTGTTTTCAAAGAAAGAAACTTAAATTTGTTTTATACTACTTGGACATCACTTTGATTATATATGCATGGAAGGTGTCAACTTCATTTAGACTATAAATACAACCCGTTCTTCTTGTGTCTTCACTCACAAACATTTTGAAACACACACTTGTCTTCCTCACCACAGAAGCACAGGCCAATGGGAAGCCTGCAGCAGCAGCAGGAGCAGCTTGGAGGTAGCAGACGGATAGCAGCCGTGGACGCTTCTCCTCCGCCGCCTGTCCAAAATGCGGACTCAAAGCAACAGGTCTTTCATTTCTAGTTTCAGCCATCATCTATGTCTTACTTTGATACTTACCATGTTGTTGCAATGAAACAGAAACAACCTGCGGGTTGGAGGAAGCTTTTGGCATTTATAGGTCCTGGTTTCCTGGTTTCCTTGGCTTACCTTGATCCTGGAAACTGTAAGACTACCTCTACTTAATCTCTCCCCCCCCCTCCTCTATTTATATGCGTGTGCGCGTGTATATAATTACTTTGTCTGCTTATAATTGATGAATAATATTCATCTCTCGTCATCATTGCAGTGGAAACTGATCTCCAAGCTGGAGCTAACCACAGATATGAGGTACCTGATCGATATCCAAAGCCAACAAATTAAACTCGCAGTACACTCACACATATAATTCACTGTTTTTAAGAATTACCCCTCAATGTGTTAGTCCATTCGGTTCTAAATTTGAATAGCATAGATAATGTATAATACATAGAGACTAGCTAATGAAGGTGAAGTTGAAAGATTTTCCACGTACACGGTACGAGGGTCCATGTATAATTGCATGCATAAACAAGAAGGAATCAAATTCCGGGAAATATTAGGGATATATAATTAGTATTCGATCGATGGGGCGGGGCACATGAGAATTTTTCGCTTGACTTTCTTGCCATTGCCATCTGAGCAGCTGCTGTGGGTGATTCTCATTGGGCTCATCTTCGCCCTCATCATTCAGTCCTTGGCAGCAAATCTTGGCGTGAGCACAGGTAATTGATTTAATTATTCTCTTTCCGTAATATAAGCACCAACACTCAGTTTTGCTCACCTTTGATCGATGGCCATGTAATTAGGATACAAATTTTCTTTATATCATTACGTGTTGTTTCATAACTTATTGTGCGTATGTATATTTGAATTGACAAGGTAAACACCTTTCGGAATTGTGTAAAGCGGAGTATCCATGGTTTGTCAAGTACTGCTTATGGCTATTGGCCGAGCTTGCCGTTATAGCCGCAGATATCCCTGAAGGTACTCTGGAATATAATTTATTTTTCCTTGGCGATCATTCTCTGATGATATAATATGACCTGTAACTCAGAATGTCGCATTAAATTATTAATTACCTTTGTCTAATCATGTTTTCCTTTGTTCAAACTTATATGGCAGTGATTGGCACCGCCTTTGCTCTCAACATACTCTTCCATATCCCCGTGTGGGCTGGAGTTCTATTGACTGGTTTGAGCACTCTCTTGCTTCTGGGTCTCCAAAGATTCGGGGTAAACAGGCTTTGATTTCACGTTACTAATATATATATATGGTGTTGTGGATTGTGGTAGGAGATTATGGAAATGAGAATATAATATTGGAAGGTCAGTTTTGTGTTGAAAAGGATGATTAAATGAATACAATTTGATGGATATATATGTGTGTGCGTGTGTGTACACAGATAAGGAAGCTGGAATTGCTGATATCAACGCTAGTGTTTATTATGGCGGGATGTTTCTTCGGAGAAATGAGCTACGTAAAGCCACCAGCTTCTGGGGTTCTCAAAGGCATGTTTGTGCCGAAACTAAGTGGTCAGGGAGCCACCGGCGACGCCGTTGCCCTTTTCGGTGCTCTTGTCATGCCGTACATATCCTCCCTTATAATCTCTGATTCATCATCTTAATTAATTTGATTTATTAAACACCAGCTTTAATTAATTGTTCACTCTGCTAAATTATTGCAGGCACAACCTTTTTCTCCACTCTGCTCTCGTCCTCTCTAGAAAAATCCCCAATACCGTGCGTGGCATCAATGTAAGCCTTTCCGTTCCCTACCTCCCATAGCAACTTCATGCTGCACAATTGACTTTTTAGTTAATTTTTCTAAATAAACAGTCTCAATTAATCACGTCGCTAATAAAATTTTATTTAATAATAATGCAGGACGCTTGTAGATATTTCCTAATAGAAAGTGGGATTGCACTCTTCATAGCGTTTCTAATCAATGTGGCAGTAATCTCTGTCTCTGGCACTGTTTGTGCTTCCCCCAACCTTTCTCACGATAATGCAGATCATTGCAGCGATCTCACTCTTAACTCTGCTTCTTTCCTTCTCAAGGTTTCCGACATTCTCATAATTTTAATCCTATAACTACGTCATATTTAATCAAATATCAACCACTAAATTCTCACACACACTCTTCATTTTCATCATTTTGATCTGTAGAATGTTCTGGGACGGTCCAGCTCGACCATTTATGCCATCGCACTGCTAGCCTCGGGCCAAAGCTCTGCTATCACTGGCACATATGCAGGGCAATTCATTATGCAGGTCATTCTACGATGATTATCATCCTTCCCCGCCATTGTTATTATTATAATAAAGTGTTGTTTCCATAAAATTGTCTGACTTGTTTGGTTGTACAGGGTTTCTTGGACTTGAGGATGAAAAAATGGATTAGGAACCTGGTGACTCGGACTATTGCCATAGCTCCTAGTCTTATTGTCTCCCTTATTGGTGGATCATCTGGGGCTGGACGGCTCATCGTCATCGCCTCGGTTTGTATAGTTTCAAACTTAATTGATCGTTATATTTATTTTTCATCAAAACTCTCATTTTCGATTTGGTTGTGCTAAAATAAATGATCTTGCAGATGATACTTTCATTTGAGCTTCCATTCGCTCTGATCCCACTGCTCAAGTTTAGCAGCAGCAGCACCAAGATGGGTCCTCACAAGAATTCTATAATCGTGAGTCCATCTCTTTCTCTCTCACCTTTATATGCTCCATTCATTGTGCATCAAAATTGCATGAGACGTGACACAATTAATTAATTACGTGCAGATCATCATCATATCATGGATTCTGGGGGCAGGGATAATCGGAATCAATGTGTATTACCTAAGTACAGGGTTCGTGGGTTGGCTAATTCACAGCAGCCTACCAAAGGTGGCGAATGTGTTCATTGGGATCATAGTTTTCCCCTTGATGGCAATTTACATTGCAGCGGTGATATATTTGACCCTAAGAAAAGACACTGTGAAGACATATATTGAGACGAAGGACGACCCAACAGTACAGACCCACATGGAAAAGGGGTTCGTAAATCCTGATAATGGCCAGTTGCAGTTGGGTCATGCTCCCTACAGAGAGGATTTAGCCGACGTCCCATTCCCTGAATAGGCCACTCCTAATTCCAATCGTCGCTTTAACAGAACCACAGCATTGAACATCCGAAGCTCGTTCATTCTAAAAATTTTCCTGCAGAAGTGTCTCTGATATCTTGTGTACGTGCTTCTCCGGGTGGCACTTGGAATATTGTGCTATAGTGTTCCAATATAAGTTTCATCATGTTGTTTAGATCATTGCGGATGGGTCGAAAAAGGGTAATTGTGTTTGGTATCCTGCCTATAGAATTTAATGAATAAAACCTCAAACCCAAGTTTCGTATATACTCTGTTGAAGTCAACGGGCATTGCCGCACTTATGCGCGACGTTGTAGAGTTGTCTTTATTGGAAGTTGGAACGACGGAGTTATATATCTTCACTTATTTCTCCCCCTCCTCCTGCTTTTACTCATAGATATTGAGAATAGACGCACATTGAGACCTGAATTTTATTAAACACCGTAACAGAGGCATAACTATAACGCAACAAAAGCCCAGTCCTGTAAATAATTTTTTTGGGCCAAAGGAGGCCCGTAATTAATGACGATGGGTCTGGCATTATAGCATCAAACTTGGCTCGTCAGTGGGCTCAGCTGTAGGAAATGTACCCTTTCATCCAAACAGGAAGGCCTCTTAAAGTGGGGATGTTTAGGCTAATGACTGAGGGTATAATATAATATAAGTTCATCTTGCCAACATTAATATCACGAGTAATTGAAGCGTCTCATCCTTGGCTTCAGTTGAATGTTGAGCCCAAATTTTGTCTAAGATTTTACTATGAAAAAAAGTATCAAACTTTTGAAATATAGTCCAACTTTTAAATTTTCGATCCTTACTTTCATCATCAACTGCATATGAGACCAAGAAATTGGTCACAAAACTTAAAAGAAATTGAAGGTCACTTTTAATCCTCATCACCCATCCTATTTTACTACTTGCGTTATCGCCGAGGATAGCGGGGTTCTTCAGAACATAATTGGATTTTCATAGCCTATCCTTATCATTTACCTGTGCAAAATATGTACCTCGCCTGTTTCTTGAAAATTTGAGGGCCTCCCAGGTTTTAAATATTTTAATGATTAATTAATTTAACTTTAAGTTATTCAACATTAAATTTGAATGGATTGTAAAATTAATTTTATAATGATACTCCTCCGGTCCTAAATATAAAACCTATTTTGTAGTGTAAATTATATTATAAAATAGGTTTTTTATTTAGAACCGAATGAGTATTATTATATATATCCCAGGCAACACATGACTCTGTATTTCAAATTAAAAAAAAATAAAGTTATGAGTTTAATTTCATTCTCAGAGTTGATTTTATTAGGAAATTTACATTGTGAAATAAAAGAAATATTTTTACCTGGCACAAATTTTAGAATTTTGTAGTATATATGAAATGACCGATACAAAGTCATGATGGATTAGCCCTCCAACGCACAAAATAGTGCAAGCGGCAGTATTACTCCTTATTTTTCACACAAACATATATATATATATATATATATATATAATCCAATCAGAGAAATATACAAGTTGTCAAAAAAAAATCAAAGAAATATAGAAATGGAATTCAGTGAAGAGGTAGCGTCAGAGTATTTTTTGGTTCGATAAATGATAAATAAATCACCCACTTGACAGTACTGTGGATGGGGAAGATAAGCTGATAGTGAATCCGTTTTCTGTATTTGTATTGTATTTCTTGTCTGCTATGCAAGCAGACAGTGACGTGCCGAAGGCTGACATATGAAACTCATGGAACGTTTTCAACTTCATTTTGAACTCTAACTGTATAATCCCTTTTCCAATCTTGTTTCTTCACTCCCACAAAACCAGTAAGAAAACTTGATTAATTACCAGTGTATACATCCTTCAATGGGAAGCCCACAGCAGCATCTTGAAGCTGCCAATCACAAAGCAGTCTTGAAGGCATCTCTTCCATTATCTACCCTAAATGCTGAGTCAAATCACCAGGTTTTGATCATTTCATACTCTATCTCCCCAGTATACTACCCCTTCCTGCAATCATAATTTGGGTATAGCTACCTTTATATGTATGTATGTGCGGGCAATATATCTAGCAGCTGGCTGTTAATTAGGCTGTGTGGTTAATAGTAGTGTTGCAAATGAAACAGGAACCACCAGCGTGGAGGAAGTTCCTGGCATTTGTAGGTCCGGGTTTCTTGGTCTCTTTGGCTTACCTTGATCCTGGAAACCGTAATTCTCTTTCTTCTCTCTTCTTCGACCATTTAGTTAATTTCTCTCTCTACTTTGTTGCTCGTGTATGTTGTGTCTGCTTATGGCTAAAATAGTCATCACTCATCGTCATCGCAGTGGAAACTGATCTCCAAGCCGGAGCCAACCACAGATATGAGGTACCTTATATATCAAAGTCCCAACAAATTTGCAGCACCCGTTAACACTCACAAGTATAGGGTCCATTTGGTTCCATTTCAGAGCTGCCGTCTAAAGAAAGAATGAAAAGGAGTGGAAGGATTTTTATTGATAATGCAATCATGATTGTTCAAAATTGAACCAAATCAGCCATGTAATTTAAACTTACTAAAAGCTTATTGCCATACACACAGACGTCCATTTACGTGCATGAGTGTACGTAATTGCACAGTGTATGATGGAACAGATCAAGTTGGACGTGGGCGCCCATAGAATTTTCTATTGATGACTTGGTTGCTACGATTTGCAGCTGCTGTGGGTGATTTTTATTGGACTCATCTTTGCTCTCATTATTCAGTCGTTGGCCGCGAACCTCGGCGTAAGCACTGGTAATTAATTATTCTCTTGTGCATATATAACACTAACACGTATGATACATGTACATATGTACGTGAAAAAACATTTTTGAGGGTGATATATGTTTGAATCTCTGGGAATTAGGCAAACACCTTTCGGAATTATGTAAAGCGGAGTATCCCTTGTTGGTCAAGTATTGCTTATGGTTGTTAGCCGAGTCTGCCGTCATAGCCGCTGACATCCCCGAAGGTACTGCTTAATTCATTAATGTTTGCTTTATATATCTATCTGTACTCTTCTTGTATTAGCTTTAATTTTATATATGTGCAACCTTGTGTGGCAGTAATTGGCACCGCCTTTGCTCTCAACATCCTCTTCCACATCCCACTATGGGCCGGAGTTCTGTTAACTGGTTTCAGCACTCTCTTGCTCCTGGGTCTGCAGACATTTGGGGTAAACTACTATTCTAGCATATTTTTCCCCCATAGTTAGCTTGATCTGATCTTATTTATTTAATCTGCACTTGGGATGATAAGGTGAGGAAGCTGGAAACGGTGATATCAATGCTAGTGTTTATAATGGCGGGATGTTTCTGGGGAGAAATGAGCTACGTAAAGCCAGCAGCTTCTGATGTAGTGAAAGGCATGCTTGTGCCCAAACTCAGTGGTCATTCAGCCACAGCCGACGCTATTGCCCTTCTAGGTGCTCTTGTTATGCCGTACGTATCCTCCCCTTCCCCTTCCCCCCATTAATATTACCATCTTCTCCTCCTTCATTTTCATCTCTTTTCACCTCACTCATGCAGCCACAACATCTTCCTTCATTCTGCTCTTGTGCTTTCTAGACAAGTACCCTCTACAGTGCGTGGCGTTAATGTATGCAATTTTAATTTTTTTTCTCCCCAGATATGATTAGTTTTCAAAACAAGTTATCTCATTTGATTACGTCACTGATGAAGTTTTATTGATTTCCAATGCAGGATGCATGTAGATACTTTCTGATAGAGAGTGGAATTGCACTCCTTATAGCGTTTCTAATCAATGTGGCAGTAATTTCCGTATCTGGCACTGTTTGTTCCGCCCCTGACATTTCTGAGGAAAATGCAGATCGTTGCAGCGATCTTACTCTTAACTCTGCTTCTTTCCTCCTCGAGGTTCCCGCAGTTCCATAATTTCAATCCAATCACTACATCGAATTTAATCCCCGTTAGCCACTTAATTCCCGGCCATCCTTCATTTTCATCGTTTGTATTTGTAGAATGTTCTGGGACGGTCCAGCTCAATCATTTACGCGGTTGCGCTACTTGCCTCTGGCCAAAGCTCTACTATTACTGGCACATATGCTGGGCAATACATTATGCAGGTCAATCCACAATCATTATCATCGTCCTCTCCAACCATTATTTTTGTGGGAGACTATTGTTTCCTGAAATTGGCTGGCTTGTTTGGTTCTATAGGGTTTCTTGGACCTCAAGATGAAAAAATGGATTAGGAATTTGGTCACTAGGTCTATTGCAATAACTCCTAGTCTTATTGTCTCCATTATTGGTGGATCATCTGGGGCAGGACGACTTATCATCATTGCCTCGGTTTGCGATTTCAAACTTTGTCATTCCTTTATCATCAAAGCTCACACTTTGGGTGCTAGTGTCAAATTCGTGACTTTGTTCATGAAAATGATTTTGCAGATGATACTTTCATTTGAGCTTCCATTCGCTTTGATCCCACTTCTCAAGTTTAGCAGCAGCAGCACCAAGATGGGTCCTCACAAGAATTCGATCATCGTGAGTTGTTCTTCTTTCGCTTTCGCCTTTATGTGATCCATTGTGCATCAAAATCAAAATCAAAATTGAATAAAAAAGTGGCAAAACTTGTGTACAGATCATAGTCATGTCATGGATTCTCGGGACAGGGATAATTGGAATCAATGTGTACTACCTCATTACAGGGTTCGTGAGTTGGCTAATTCATAGCAGTCTACCTAAGGTTGCAAAAGTGTTCATTGGGATCATAGTGTTTCCTTTAATGGCAACGTACGTCATGGCGGTACTTTACCTAACCGTTAGAAAAGACACCGTAAAGACATATATTGAGACGAAGAACGACCCAGTAGTACAAACCCACATGGAAAAGGGGTTGATGAATCCTAATGGGCAATTGGAGTTGGGTCGTGTTCCCTACAGAGACGATTTAGCCGACATATCATTTCCAGAATAGGGGACGGCAAGTATCCGTAATTTCTTGCGGTTCTCCGTGTGAATTTGAATGTACTGTAATTCCAAGATTCAAATTTCATCAAGTTCCTAGATCTTCGTGGATGAAGAAGATAGAGATATTTATATTCGGCATGCCGACATATGAAATTTATGAATAGATTGTGAAAAACCTTAGACTCTTGTACTCTCGGGAAGTTCAGGGCATTACCACGCCTTCACATTCTATGGAGCAATGTAAACTTCTTCGATCTGGTACAACCCAACTTTTGTCGATAAACTGGTCGGCCGTTGCCATACCCTATCCCTGAGATGCTCGGTTGTGAGGGAGATGCAGACATCATCTGATGCCTACAACCGTCGTTAATGTTAGTAATGAACAATGTAACTGATTTCTTCTAAGCCCCCTCTAGTCATTTGTAAAAGGAATTAACTGTGCATGTAAATCCAATATTTTGATGTTTATTTTCCCTGTTGATGATTGTTGAATCATCCCGCTGATCACTTACTATTTCCATACGCCAGTAAGTGATGACAAGTCATAAACTATTCATGTCAAATTTGTTAATGATTGTATATTATGAAACGTGCGTAAAGATCTCCCGATGCATCAAATATAGAATGAGAATAAGATGAAATTTTGAACTCCATTAATGATGAATGAACAGAAACTGTTAAAGAATTAGATACAAAGGTAAATCCAACTCTTTCACCAAAGGTAAATACAAGTTTGGAAAACAAATTATTGGTGGTGAAGAAGACAATTTTGCTCGTCTCTATGGAGGCTTGTTATTTCAAATTTTTGGGATAAAAAATCAAAATCCTAATCCAAATACAAGAGATAGAGAGAATCGCAGTCTCTCTGTAGCGTACATTACATCACGTAACAAGGCGAAGACGCCTTTTTTGATAACCTTAAAGCAGAACGACCAATGACACGTAAACACACTTGCATGGCTGAGGATATATAGAGCATTTACTTCAATCCAGATGCGTGATGATATATATGTCATGACCATGTTACAGTGTCCAGAGAAATCCCACGAGGGTTCCCTGTTTCTTCTTCAAACAGAATTAGTAGGTTTCCAGAAGGTTTCAGGAGGGATCGAGGGATATGGTACCTGAACATTTTTTTTCCCCAATTATATAGTTTTGTAAGTAAATGTCAAACACTAGTCAGTATGATAACTTAACACAAAAAGATCAGTGACAGAGGAACGTACCATCTCTGTGAAGGTTTCCCTTTCGCAGTGACGAATGATACCCAATATCGGCCAATACTCTCTCCATTAACCCAAACTTCACCCTTCCCCATTGAACCAAGATCAAGCGCGACCGGATTATTTCCTGGCGGTGCATCAAATGTGGTCTGCAAAAAGTTTAGTGGAATACAATAAAAATCCCTCACTAAGAGAGGGTGAATGGAAGAAAAAGGGAATGACAGACTCGAGCACAAAGCATTAGGAGAAGAACTATAGCTATTTGGATTTCCTGTTAGTTTTTCTGTGCACGATGGATTTAATTAATTGAATTAAATGGTTCAGAAGTACTCTTACCTTATACCACGTCAATGGATGTAGCCTTCCAAGCCTTTTCCACTGAACTTTTCTTGATCCTGTAACTGTATAGATTTGCAGCTTTTCTCCTAGTAACCCAACCTTCATTCAAAACTTAAACATAAGCACGTAATGAAGCAAAATTACCTTTACGATAGAAAAAACGCGCACGCACTCGATTTCTAATTAAAAAATAAAGATTAGAGATCATGTTTCCCAGTAGTCTTCTGAGTTATGTTGTTATGTAGCTTTAGAGTTAATCACCTGATATCCCCAGGTATGATGAGTGAAATCTCTGCCATCTACTCTGACATTGCGCAAACCAGCAACTTTGCGTTCAAGGAATGCTCCAGAGTCCTTTATGTGAAAATAGAAGGCTTATGTCATGTTATTCAAAAGCTTTCTTTATCTCTACTGTCAAATCTTATTTTGCATGTTAATCCAACATGTAACGTACACATATATATGAGAAAAGGGACTGTTAAAAACAAGGACACTAGTACCGGCAATCCAACTGTTGCGCTGAGGAACGAGATATGGTTGATTCCTTTTCTCAATTTGATATTGCGCTCCATGGTGAAAGGTACATCGTTGTGAGTTCCATGTGCAGAACCTATAAATTGAGAGGAGGAAAGATCAGTAAAATACACTGTTGTAAAGATGAAAGAAGTAAGCTTGTGGCCAAACCAATCATTACTCTCGCGGCATGTTATCTCCAGATAATGTCTATTTTAACTCCAATTCACATCTGCCTACATAGATAATCTGAAATTACAACTTCCTAGGCTATGCTTTACATATAATCAATAACTGTTCATTCTCATAACAGAGATATAAATCCTGAATATGATCATCATTTGATCAATTTTATGTTGTCAATCTATGAAAGAGCGTGGCGATTTAGGGCTTGCCTGCTAAAACTCCATTGACAAATGCATGCAAAACATGTCCCTGGCTAAATGCACTAAGAAATGATCGAGAACTTGAGTGACGAAACCTGGTCGAGCAAGATTGGCAACAGGCATATTAGTGCATGAAAAATTTTAGTTAAGGTAACAAAAAATGTGCATGAAGTTCATGCAATTTACTTTTGTTTCTGATTACCTGAGAGTATACCACAGATAGTCAGATTTATCTTTTGCCGTGCTGATCTGATCTACTAGCCCGTTTGCTCTTGGGGTAGTACGAGCGAAGTTAGGGATGGCTTCTTTGTACAATTCCCATTGTTGTGCTGATTTAAAATGTACTACAGGGTTCATTGTTCTGGTACTGTGTTTTGCACTTACCTACAAAAGCAGCTCATAAGTAAGAAGTGCCTTTTTTTCTCCTTGCTTTAAGCGTTTTCTTAAAATTTAGAAACCGAGCATTTAAATTCTTACTTTGGCAGTATTGAAGGCCACACGCCTGCAATCTGGGAGAATGCTAATTGATTTTGGAGGCAGTTTATATGGAATTCTAAAAAATGGGACAGTGACTTCTTTATTTTCTCTATTTTCCAGAAAGGCAGCACATTGTGTTTTGCTCTTTCTGAAGACATAGGCCTGAAGAAGATAGGATGACCAAGGATTAATTTTGTTTCAGGTATAAAATGAGGTCATTAATTATCAGATAATGCCCAAAAGTTATATTTTGTTATCTTACTTCTTGTTGCCTGCCCAAGCTGAGCGTAGTCTGGGTGGCAGAAAGCAAAGTTTTTGAGCAGGACTTGATTGCAGCATGTAGGTCTCTAAGATGACCCCACTTTGGCTGCCTAATTAAACCTAGTCACATGAAAAATAGATAGTCATGAAGTGATTTGAAATTCTGCAGTTATATATTCTGAGAAAGAAGAGAAATGTACCATATTCATCTAGAGGAGCTTCATCATAATAAGCCGTAATCATAAAAGCGGCAGCTGTTCTTCCAAAATTTGTTCCTCCATGGTACTGGATCAAACCCATAATTTAAAAGAGAGTTCACACGTTTACTGCTTAGTTGTTTAGCGGAGATGACAGTCATTACCATATAGTAGTTGACGTAGCTTCCTTTCTTTGCAATGAACAAGGCAACATTATACGCAATATTTTCAGCTGATCTCAAGTATGGTTCGTTACCAAAGGCTTGATAGCTTCACATTTCCAAGTAAACTAAAAGGCATGAGTCAACTTATACACTTTGGTGTCTATTTTGACTAATTAAGCTGTAAATGAAACGAAGAGATCCACTAGAACGTACAAACTTGTCCAGTTCTCTGTCCAGATTGAAGGTTTATGAGGCGAGTTAGGTCCCTTGAAAGTGTTTCCACATTCCATACCATTGCACGCGTTGATCTATTAAAGGTACATCACATAATTAGCTAGTTGCTAACATGTTTACAATGAATTGGTGATAATTCCATGAAAATGAGACTGTAAAACGCACCACTGGACCAGGAGCATCATCTTGCTTGCACATAGCCCAGGGCACACCAGTGTGAAGCCCCACGGCCATTTGTGCTGCCCAACGAACATAGCTTGGTCCTCTTTCGTGAAAAGCCGCTTCAACATTAGCATACTCGTTCTCGATCTGCATTGCATGGAAAATATGAATTAAACCAGGCAGAAAATGGCATAAGCATATCATACTACATTACAGCCAAGTTTTATTCTGGCAAAGCTTGAAACCTGTGATAGTATGATAGGCCCTCCTTGTGAAGCATAAAGATTGTGGGATTTCATCAAGTTTACTATTTTGGTAGTGAACTTTTGCATTTGATACTGCCATTCATGGAACAGAAAGGATTTTGAGTGATCGAACCACTTGTATTGTGTAGCTCAAGTTACAGAGTAGCTAGAAGAGTGAACACCTTGAATGGCTCATTATCTGATCTAAAAACAATGCCCGGAATGTCATGTAACCAAACGGGTAAACCTCTGCACCAATAGAAGCATAATTAGTGGAAGAGAACAAGTTTTGATTTTGTTTGGTGACAAAGCAATGATTAGGCTGTGGGAAGGTCCAACCCATAAGTCCATTCACTCTCAATGTAAGGTCCAATTCTGAGGGTGACATATAGACCTCGTGCTTGGATCTCCTTAATGAACCTCACTACATCCCGCCTTCCACTGAAGTCATACTGCAGCAAATCAACACAAGGATATATAGTATTCGTCACTCTGTTTATGTATAAATTAAAACCGGCCGAAGTGAAAAGAGGATGAGGGAAGAATGAGGAGGTCACCTGGCCTTGTTGGGGCTCGTGAAGGTTCCAAAATACGTAAGTTTGAATGACATCTATGCCTCCCTCCTTGGCTTTGGAAATTAAGGAAGGCCACATCTGTTAAAAAAAAAACCTAGGCTTTTACCTTGATGCCCATTATTTAGTTACATATCTAAAGAAGGAAATTTAAGGAAAAAAATGTGATTCTACAAATTGCAACATAAGCCAAGGCAACGGACGCCAGCCTTCACTCCAGTCAATGACGGCTTTGACTTCCGGCAAGGGTTTAACTTGTACATGGTAATTAGTCAAAACTGATGATATTCATAAACCTGATCTTGGTACGAATTTCAAGTTTCAAGTTTTTTTTTAATCCAAAAAAATTATGTTCGTAAACTGGCTCTTAATTTTCCAAACGAAAGAGAAAGCGCGCGCGCGCGCGCGCGTCATGGCGAACTTATAAGCGTTGTGTCTCCGTCCAATCTCCCAAAAGCAAAATGTTTTGTCCTATCTTATTAAAAAAATGTTTTGTCCTAGCAATTATGACTCACTATTTGGTCTTTTAAATTAAATAAATGTGATTCTTTGAAATAAATATTTATTTTAATTGTGTTGACGGACTGAATTGAGAAGCATATCCTGAACTCGATTTTGGCAAATCAATCAAA